CTATGTTATTAAACTTGAAGATGTGTTTTCAGATCAATTTTCTGTTTACACAAAGTGCCCTGGTGTTGGAGCCAACATTTTGACAAAGATCAAAGCCATTCCCATCACCTTCCAATGCTGTCCAGAATTTTCCCTGGAATATGTGCAGAAGCTGTTTATAAGAATGCGAATATACTACAGCATAAAATTTGCCAACAGAGACTTAGCCACATCTAAACCAAAGAACAGAAAATACATCAAAGTCACACATCTTTAAATAATATACTGGACATGTGTTAACGCTGCTCTGGTTTACAAGCTAAGACTGGATTGTAAATATAGCCTTAAATGACTAAATTTACTGTTCACGAGCCAAACATTTCGACACTCTTCTTAATAGTTTAGGATATTGAGACACAATAAGGATGTCCATTTATGATTTGTTATTCAATCACTGCTAAAGATAGACAGAAAACATCGAAAATTAAAACTATATTAAAACTACTGTCTGTGCTATTGTACGATAGGCGATAGCTACTGGATTCGGTTCTCCATGAACAATATCGAAGAAAAAAATGCGCCTACGAGCATTTAGTTTGACTTTTAGATAAATAAATTGAAATTACATACCTTCTCCTTGAATGCTCTGGTCATTAAAACCAAAATTTTGAACATAAACTCCCACGGTATGCTTTTAAAACGAAAATATAACGCTCGCTCAATACAATTTATATTTATTCTGGCAGCAAGTTACTGGCCAGAGTAATGGCGGCCGTCGAATTTCCGGTATGCGCGACACGGCATGCGCGAGGACACCGACTTCAAAGGATCCGACATTCAGTTGCCCTTCTATCCATTTCTCATTCTATGCTATTGTTTTATTGTTTTAATAAGATTCGGCAACTACCTAAAAATACAACAATGTAGTGCCAGAGAGTTCGCCACAGGTTCCCCCAATTGCGGCGATTCCTTAATAAGTCCGAGGATCGTCACAGTTATACGTGTTCGACTGTGCGTTCTTATAATACGATTTCAGTCCTGATTATCACTTAGGATGCTCCAGGTTTTACAAGCTCTAATAAAATACGAGGACTGGAACGTTACAGTTTTGGCATAAGGTATTAAGCATTTAATTCGATTGTCATTAGTTTCACTTCTAGTGATTCCTGATCCTGATATAACCGGTCGAGCACTGTCGAGAATATATGTATAATTGTTAATGATTCTATAGAGTAGGAATATATCCAGGTATTCGTGCCAGTAAGTTATGGGTAGTAGATCTAGGTTATGTAGTCTTGTTGGATACGGTATGTTGGTGACAAATCCAAGATTAAGATAAATTTGGTTGCTGTTCTCTGCACCTTCTCGATATTTTGAATTTTTAACTGTACGGACTGTGGTCACCATGCATACTTGGGATGCGTACGCAAGATTGCTTCGAACGAGCTGTAAGTACAGATACTTTCTCGCCTTGGAAGGCACACTCTTTTAGAATGCGCGAAGGAAACCCGTCGGGACCATGAGCCTTGACGGATCTAAGTTCTGCAAGGCTTGGTAAACTTCTTCTACCGACAGGTCAATTGATGAAATGCTTGATAATGGAGAAGATGAATCTGGTTGATAATGGAGAAGATATGAGAGAAGTTACTAACAGCAATTTAGATTGCCACAGGTGACTCACAGTCAATGGAAATGGACTAAAGTAAGTTAGTCAAAGAACTGGAAAGGATCCTGGGTACAATAAGAGGCATGTGAGAAAGTGGGATACGATCAAACCTTCAAAGCTGTGAAGTTTGCGTTGACAGCAGGCGTCTCTTTCACTTCTCATTCATGCGAGTAGGTCGAGTTCCTTCATTCTTTGGTGAATTTGCATCAGACAGCAGACCACATGACACTAAAGAAAGATTTACTGTCAAGAAGTTCTACCGAGTGATTGAGACCGCAATCAATCAATTGGAAGAACGCTTCAAGAGCTACTTCCTAAAAGCCTTGCATCTCTTGATATGACAGAAATGCGCAAGTATGCTAAATTATATATTGTTAATGAATACAATGGAGACATATGCACAGATGGCGTTGAAATAGCAGATTACACAGCTGATTTTATGGATGAGATTGAGTCGTTTCGCTGGTGTTTCGGGAATCAATTGAAGCGTATGTTAAGTGTTTCTGAGGAACTCTACCTGCTAAAAGATGTGAATCTCAATATCGGCGTTGTCTACTCTTCTGGTCACAGTTATAAAGAAATATCTTCGCTCAAGTATTTCTCAAGATAGTCTGGAATGAATGGGTATCCTTCCTATTGAGAACAAAGAAGCGTGGTCTTTGGATATAGAGAAGCTGATTGACAAGTTGGCTGAGAAAAAAGCAAGGATAAGGAAATTTAAAGTTTGAAGTATTGTTCTTGATCCTGTTCTTCAGGTTCAGGTTCTCAGGACAATTCATTTTTGTTGACTTTTCAGAACTGTTAGGTTATTAGCTTTTAAATGATATTCCCTATGAAATCACGCACGATTTCAGAATATTATTGGCTACGACCGCTACGTGGTGTATCCTCAGTGCTTGATACCACCCGGGAGAAATTATTAAATGTATATCAACTTAACCAATATCAAATTGGATGTTTCATGTTCAAATGCCTTAATCAATCCTTTTCCTTACCATCTCAGTTTCTCCAATGGTAATGGTAATGGTAATGGTTTATTAACACATTTAGTAGTAGTTACGCTAATTTACAATGTGTTTATAAATTTGGGTATAAAAAAGTATATATATATTATATATTTACATGTCATTCATTAAAATTAAAGTTTTACTAATCTATATCTATTTACAATATGTATAAAAACTACTAATGCATACCTATTTGTACATTAACTGATAAAATTTTAAAAATGATGATCCTAATCAACTAATCTAGAATTATATAAGTATATACAGTAAACTAATGGACTGTGTTTAAAACGTTCGGTTTTAGAGGGGAAATTATATAATTTCTGACTGTTAGTTCTTGTTTCTTTTTGCCTAATGTATTTTAGTTTCTTTGGTAAGAGGCTATGAAGTTTATGGTTTGGTTCCAGCATTTTTTTAATTAGAGATACACATAATTCGTCCCTACGTTCTTCCAAAGTTTGTAATTTTGTCTCAGTTATTGCTTGGTCGTAGTCTAGGTTTGGGTAAATTATTGTAAGTACTCGTTTTTGAATTCGTTCAATGCTCTTTTTCTGCTCTTGGGTTAGACCTCCGTTCCAAATCTCCGCACCATATTTTAAAACAGGACGAATTACCGAACAGTAAAATGCTAACAAATCATCCATGGGGGCACCATAACTCTTCAAGATCTTTAATAAATACAGACGCTTGGCCGCTTTCTTTGTAATATATTCCGTATTAGTTTTCCATTTAAGATCGCAATCTAACCATATTCCCAGTAACTTATATGACTTCGTTCGAGAAACATTATGACTACCAACATAAATTGGGGGTATAGAGGTTATATTTTTCCTAAAGTCAATAATCATCTCCATACACTTTTTATAGTTTAGTTCCATTCCTTCGTCCTTTGCAAACTGTACCACCTTGTCTACGTTCATTTGAGTATTACCGATTGGGATGCCACTTAAATTGGTACTACCGATTGGGATGCCAATATTTTTCTTATAATAAAGATGTTCATCAGTATAGCAAGCGGGTCACCCTAGTCTAACGTGTTTTATAGGTTGCGTTTACATGCGCGCTAGGGTTACCCTATCAAACAGATAGGGTGACCCTAGCAGCAGGGCTATCTTTTTGTTTACATAAGCCATGTAAACGCGTCAGGTAGGGTGACCCTAGCAAGCCGGTCATGTTTTATACGTCCTATTGTGACTGCTAGACAAACAAGGATGGCGTCTCAAGATTATACATATTAGCTTGACGAGTATTGTAAAGAACACCAGAAAAAAACAAACGGATAAGCAATTTACAAATAAGGAAGCAGAGGCAGAGAACGAAGCTTTGTCTTTGGACAAGAACGCTGCGAATGATGTAGTGTCGATAACAAAGTCAAAGATGGTGAAATGGAAGCAAATTAAAATTCCGGCGCATCCTCAGCGAGCATAGCATTATATAACTTACCGCTAAAACTTTGCGTTTCGGCGCCATTTTTCTAATATAGACAGTTTAGCGACCACGCATAGGTAGGGTTACCCTATCGGGCAACATAGCCCTAGCAGTAGGGTTA